TGAGAACTAATGACCCAAGTACGCATTATATTGGTTTCTATTGTTACGATTAACCCTTTATTTATTATTTGAATATACTGGTTTCCAAAAATAAATCAATGACTTGAAAATATCAACTGTAAGAAACAGCAGTAATACAATTTTTTATATTCAAACTTAGGTTATAAACATTACGTTACCAAATGGTTTAATGTGCTTATGCCCAAAATTGATCGCTTTTTGTATGGAAATGGTGGAAACATAATAATGGTTCAGGTATAGTCAATTATTAATACTTACTACTGTACTCCAAATATTTTGAAAATTAATTTCCCTTTTCTGTGTGTAGGTGGAGAATGAATACGGTAGCTATAATGCCTGTGACCAAGAGTATATGTTGTGGTTACGAGATTTGTATAAAAGTTACGTTGGATATAAAGCTTTACTGTACACAACTGATGGATGTGGATATTCTTATTTTACATGTGGTGCTATACCTGACGTATACGCAACTGTGGATTTCGGTGCCTCGACTAAAGATGGTAAGTATACAATCTACCAGCTAGTACACTATAATACACACACCTGTGGAAGTTAATATCAAATTTATCGTAATTTTGCTTTCATCCTGGTTTTCAGTTTCCCAATGTTTTAAATATATGAGAACCACACAAAAGAGAGGGCCTCTAGTAAATTCCGAGTATTATGCTGGTTGGTTGTCGCATTGGCGTGAACCATCACCAGTCGTCAGAAGTTACGAAGTTGTGGAAACTATGAGAGACATGCTAGCTTTGAATGCATCGATCAATTTCTATATGTTCCACGGAGGTACAAATTTTGGGTTTACTTCTGGTGCCAACAAATACGAAAGTTTAAAAAAACCAGATTATTTACCTCAATTAACCTCGTATGATTACAATTCTCCGCTAGATGAAGCAGGCGATCCAACTGAAAAGTACTTTAAAATTAAGAAACTGCTCGAAGAAACTGTAAGTGTTGATGATAAAGATATACTTATTATTTATAATATATTCACTTTAATAATAGAAATAATCTTTTTAAAGAATTTTTCAGTATCAAATGAAATATCACCCGTTCCAGCACCTAAAGGTGATTATGGAACATTCACAATGCAGCCGTTGGTTAGTCTTTTTGAAAAGTCCACGCAACGGATTAAGCCGGTTGAAAGCGATGTTCCTCTTGGGTTCGAAATCATGGGTATAAACTCGGGATTTGTAATGTACGAAACTATTTTGACGGACGATCAAAAAGATGTCACAGGTCCTGTAAACCTTACTATTAGCACAATCAGAGATCAAGCAACAATCTTCTTGGACCAGGTATACGATATAATGCTTTATACATTTGTTAATATACAAGTATATAGCAACATTTTTCTGGGTCTCGGCTATCGAAAACGATAGTATCTATGTGATGAATGACGATATATTCTTATGAAAAATATTTGATATCCTTATGTTGATATTTTCCTTAATTACTTTTTTAAACAGTAGATACGTTGTTGATGCGTCGGTAAAATTGTACTACCATGTGATACTGTGATGGTTATGTGTAATTGACGTAGATTATAATATAGGATTTCGATACTAAGACAAAGAGTAGGTACAAATACTCTCCTGATTTTTAAATTAAAAAAAAACATTTTTTTACTAATTTTTTTATTAGATATTATTTTTTTCCATACTCGCATATTATATGCGTCCATATCAGTGAAAGGGTTAAAAAATATATATTTATACCAACTAAAACAAAGATATTTTTTAAGTAAAATATATCGATATCGTTGCCATTACTATATTTTAGAATAAAACACGTTGGTACTAAACATTTTTTTTTTTAGGTAAAAGTGACTGTTGTACCTCGTAAATATGAAAATACACCTATTAGCTTAAATATTAGTAGTACAGTTCAAAAGCTAAGTATTCTAATTGAAAATCAAGGAAGAATAAACTACGGAAGCTTTATGGAAGACAGAAAGGTTAGTACAGGTTAGGTTGTACCTATAGTTCATTGGTTTGTCATAATGCCATTACTACAACTCATTACTATTCAAATTATACTTTGCACAGGGTATATTTGACCTGGTATTATTGGGTAACCATGTACTAGGACCGTGGAAAATGATTGCTTACCCTTTAAATGAAACGTCTTGGTTTTCGACGGTTGAACCACAAAAAGACGCTGTACTACCAGCATTTTATAGAACACAATTTACATTACCTGATTCTACAACAAAACCTTTGGATACTTATTTGGACGTTACTGGCTGGAAAAAGGTTGGTTTCTATAAAAAAAACTATTAATACCTGACCAAAATAAACAAGATATAATATTTATTGCATAATTTATTATATTTTTTTGTTGTTAAAAGGGCGTTGCTTTTGTGAACGGAATAAATATAGGACGATATTGGCCATCGGCTGGACCACAAGTAACTCTTTATGTTCCAGCCACATTTCTAATTCCACAACCGGGATTAAACACAATCGTCATGTTGGAACTTGAAGGAGTTCCTGAGAACTTGTCAGTATCGTTAACTGATAAACCTATTCTTTTTGGTCCTATAAATATCTTGCCAATCAATTTTTAATAATGCTGGTCTTGATATATTTTGTTAATTAAACTGTGGTTAGTGTAGTTAAAATTAGTACCTAGTTTAATTTATTTTTATATCATTTTTGGTAGTAATCAGCATGTTATCTACTATATAGTTATTATGGGAATAAATATATATGCAGTTACTACTTGTTCTCCATGTAAGATATCTAATGGTTAGTTATTTTTTTATTTTAACTTTATCAATAATTAAAAAAATTGCTAACAAAATAGTTTTGATTCTCCAATGTGACAGTGAGTTTGACAGGTTTGTAGAAGGTAAACCTATATATATATATATTTATATAAGTATATTTAAGTATTCTAAGTATTATATTAAAGTAATATACCTACAGTTTTTATTATTTATTATTATGGTTGTTCACACTTATAAATTTGAAATTATTATTATTAAAAAAAATGAACTTTTGTAAATAATAGTGTATTAATTGTGATATTAAAATACATGGACATCGAATTATTTTAAAAATTATTTTAAAGCCTATTCTTTATTTATTTCATAATGTCCCACAAAGATTTACTTCTGATACTTCCGATTTCTACGTAAATGTGGGTTTTAGTATACTTTAGTAATATATAGAATTATACATTTAATTATAGATTTTAAATGTGACTAAAAACTTAAAATTTATAAAATAAGTTTTTACTTAAACACTTCTCATTCTTCCCACAAACACATTCAATCAATTGGATTGGAGTTATTTATTTTCTGTACACACTCTGTTATCTATTTTTAATTGGTAAATACCAACTACCAAGTATCAAAATAATTCATTGTAATAATCAAGACTTTAAAAATGCCAAATGTATAGAGAATATTTATATTAACATTATTTTGATAACGATAAATATCTACATTTTATAAATATCTACATTTTATAAATTATAAAAGTATATTAGTACTGACAAATGTATTGATTTTACAATGATGTCATTATTTTTTTTTTGTGTCATCGCTTATTGGGACAGTACAAATATTTTGATTTTATAATTTTTCACCTTTGCGCCAGTCAATTGTACAATTATATATTATTATAAGTCTTACCCTAAATCAACATAATGACTTGATGTTTTTATTTTATCTGATATATTATCATATTTAATCCATCTGTGAGCTGTCTCCCATTAATTGTGTATTTAATTTATAATATTATATTATTATAGATATCTGAGACCTTTATACAATTTTTAGATTTTTTGGTTGTACAATGAAATGCTTATGAGAAACCTTGTTTTATATTTTAAGCCTTTAGCTATAAAAATTGAACATTTTATAAATTTTTAACTACAAAATAATTTACGAATTTTCGTGATTTTGATGGACTTGTCAACATTTGAATTTTAAACGCTCATAAGAAAATATTGTAACTGTATTTTCGATGTTTTTTAAATAATTTATAAGCAATTTATGAGTTATGAGGAACCTTGAATTCATTTACCTATACCTTGAATTCTTTCAAATTTTCTAAGTGTTTGATCAACGGAACAATTAAAGAAATAAAAACCAACAATTTTAAATATCTATAAATAGCTATAATAAGAGTGAAAATATTTTGAAATTTTTATCATGTACAGAAAATGGTAATGTAAATATTTGATGAAAATGCCAACTTTTATTTTTTTTGTATTCGTCATCACTCATCAGTATTTAAAGCAGTGAAAATCTTTAGATTTTCAGCTTCAAAACCTTTTCTGGTAAGAAAATTAATGTAGTTGGTACTTTGGATTTGAGGTATGGAGTCTACTGTAAGTCAGTATTGATTCAAAAGTTGACAATAATATTATATGATATGAGTAGATATATACTAATATATACTATTTTAATAATGAATATTATTAAATAATAGAATGCTTTAAGCAAAAATTAAATCAGTAAAATAAATTACTATGCCTCGTATAAATAGAAATATATTAGTAAATATATCTGGTGATATAAGATATCATATAGGCTGGCAGACAGTCTTTGCACAGAATTGTTTTTCGTATGCAATAGCCGAATTCAAATTTGACACGTCCATCACGATGACATATTGACTATATTGAATGTTGGTTTGTCAACTTTAAACAGCACATAGGGTTCCTGAGGTTTTTTCCATATTCTTTATAAATGATTTAAATCAAGTCTCTTGATCGCACTAAACCTATTATCACAGTTACATAAGTCTGTCAACATTATGCATTTATTATAATATTAGTTTGTGTATTCGTTTGACTAGCGTACCTCGACACTGAATGAAGTATGCTGCTCAATGAATCAAAAAAACCTGTCTTTATTGCAGAAGGTGGGACTGCCAACAATCGAAGTGAGACTGGTCGTTAGTAGAGAAACCGGTTCCAGCTTTTTAGCTATTCTGACTTCTGAGTATATGAAGTAACTTGTAGTACGCGTGGCACTATTATATTGTAATCAATGTTCAAATTTTAAATCCAAATCCTGATTCACCAACACAATACTCCACTCATGTCCAGTATACAAAACTACAATATTAAGTTAAGGTATGCAATTTAAATGTAGAAAAAACTTTGTTTTAAGTTTAATAGTTTTACAAACATATCTTCCTCGTGTTTATTTTTATAATAGTATTCAGTTTGTTCCGTTTAACAGTGGCTTAACGGTTCGAATATTATCTATTCTTGCCAACATACGCAAGGACGAATTAATAATGATTATAATGAATTATGTAATATCAATGTTACGTTTATTGGATAAAAACAAGACTGAATAAAATAGAATTCCATTTTATTGAAAATACGAAACAACGTTTTAACTGATGAATATGCATTGATATATTCCAACGGACAAGTGAAGTCATATTTTAAACACATTTATAGGCAGTCTCGTCTAAACCGTACTATGCAATAGATGCCATAGGTTCTCTATAAGTCGACAAATGCGAATGTTATTTAAATTCTTACACATTACTATGTAACTTTATTTTATAATTTGAATTTGTATTTATCTTTTCTGGGTGAAAAATAAATTTCTTCGTTTTTATTTCATCAAAAACATCTGAATAAATAAATTAATAATTTTGCTGGCTACGTCGTTAACTCAACTGCAAATACCTTCTGGCTTCAACTATTATACAATATGGGTTTATTGTCTGAAAATGATGAAACACAGTAAGTTTTTACAGTATAATTCATATTAAATAATTATTAATAACTATAAATCGTAAATTAAATTAAAATTTGATACTGGTTTACAGTAGAAATCGTTTATAATGACGTTCAAGGGACTAAGGAATATAGATCACAATAACTGATAGTCATAATAATTACCTATACAATTTAACATATAAAACTTGCTTACGCATTTTTTAGGGTCCTTTACTTAGGGTTATAAAACTCGATATGTTACTACAAGTTACAACCGGTGTCATTATAAACGACTTCTACAGTAAGAGTACATTTGGTTAATTTATTAATTGTATTATGTTTCAGATCATTGTTAAAAAAACAAAAACTTCGGTGGAACCAAAAACTGTCAAAGTGTCCTTTAATTGCTATATTATTCGGTATTTTGTTACTGGTTTTTATTTATATTCTATACATTTTAATCGATGGACGAGAATCTAAAGAAACACCAAAGGTAACACTTGTAAAATTGTATTATACCTACCTATAATTAATAATTATGTATTATACCTATAAGAAAGATAGGTTGAAGTAAAAAATTGTTTCCCATGTCTTTTCGAGTTAAAATAACAACGTCCAATGGATATTTTCTGTTATAATAAACCCATTCTAGCCAACTATATATGGGGCATCCTATTTGAAATCGTCATAAGTTAAATTGAAAAGTTGAGCGTAAATCCATAAAAAAATTGTATAACCGCCTGAAGGAATTTTCGTATCAAAAATTTTAAAATTCAATACAAAAATCCTCATAAGTTTTTCCATCTTAATTAAAGTAAAACAGTTACTCTAATTAATTTTTTGTGAAGGGTACGAAGTTCAAATATGTACAACATTATACATACTATAAGGATTTAAAATTGAAAACTAGGTTTTTCATAAGTATAGTTCATACTGTGACCAAAATATTTAAATAATATATTTTATAGTTAGTAATATAGACTGAATTACCTTCGTTCAGAATAGTTTTACGCATACTATGATTTGATATCATAAAAATTCAAATTTAACGTATCCATTGCACTAATACCATAACCCATCGATTATACCTACTGTGCTGCAGAGTGGTACACACTTGTCCTCATATTATTTTCAATTTGAACTTTCGAAGACTTAAACCTTTAAAAATGTTGGAAACTTAACTTGAGTGCAAGCATGGATGAGTTAAATTTGAATTCAATTATAAGTTATTATGTAAGATTCTGAGCGAATACAGTCTGTCGGTCTGTACGTAGTTTTTGCTATTAAAGTAATTTTTTTTACTATTATAGTAACATATAGGTAGTAAGTTAAATTTAAATTTTTATTGATTAATAATAAATAAATTCACTTTATAAGATATGATATTATTTTCTATTTATATACAACAATTATCTTCATATGATAATATAAAAACTACAATGATGGATGGTAAGTATATCAATTAATTCGGTGTTGACCTGCAATACGTTCGCACGTATGTGCGATTGTCCGTTCCGTTATTAATAGCTTAATTATGTAAACAGTTTCAAGAGACACGGGATTCACCCTATTGAACGCGTTTTCTCGAAAAATTGATAACATCACCTCTCCGAAAATGTCTAAACCCAAACGGTCGCTGCTATTATCTCCCAATTCACTTATCCAGACGGGACTAAAAAAACCACGTCATTTATTTTGATAAATAAATTTGCTGTTCTGGCGAACGATGAGGACAGTGAAATCAAATCCGACACTTCTTGTGATACCTCTAAGCTAATCAATGAATCTACCATTCACTAACAACAGGACAACACCAGGGCTCCGCCAATTTATGTCCAAAACATAATCAACTACTCCTCTTTCGAATACACGTTATTACAAATCGCCGGCGGCCCTAACGGGTTTACATGCAAGTCAACTTGACCTTTCTGATTGTTCGTCCTCGTGGTCGCCAAATATTTAACTTAATCACTCTACACCTAATGGCCACCAGTGCCTGTTTTCACATCTTCATGTCGCCAACATTGACCTTTCAAGGTCAGAATCAGAAATCTGCACCACACAACACTTATCTCTGATATATCTGATGCACTTTCGGAGTTGGGTCACTCCACCAGACGTATCACGAATGTCATCAAAAACGGCCACCCGTGCCCGCTATTCGCTGTGGAATTACATACCAATACCAACAAAAAAGAACCAACAATAAAGAAATTTCAAATCTTTTATTAATTTTGCAAACCAAAGTCAAAGTCGAGTTACCGTGTATTATGTTATCTGTAACTTGTTCATTTCGTGCGTCTTCAATCTATATATTTATCTCTACATTTTTTCATATTATCTAATATTTTATGTGCACTATTATTATTTTGTAATATTTTCGATTAAATATGTTATGTGCCTGAATATATATTGAATAATTGTTGAACTATAATAATTACACTAGAAGCTAATGAAGTTTAAATAATAAACCGTTAGGTAGTTATAAAAATAATAATAATATTTTTTAATAAATCTTGTTTCATGAGAGTTTCTGCTTATGATAAATGTTTATAAACGTTAATGTCTGTTGAAAACTTTCATATGTTTTTAATTATTTGTAGACACCTGAGCGAACTTTTATTGTTGATTACGAACAAAATGAGTTTCTAAAAGATGGTCAAGTATTTCGATATGTCTCCGGTTCGTTCCACTATTTTAGAGTTCCTAAACCTTATTGGAAGGACCGAATTAAGAAAATGAAAGCAGCTGGCTTAAATGCTGTGTCCACGTGAGTAAAAATTACAAAAAAATTTTTTTTTTATATTTATTAATTGTATTGTCAATACATCAGGTATTTGTGCAATGTTAGGTGCAATATACGATTTAAGATTAATATGATTGCAATGTTATGTGTAGAAAGATTCACATAATTACAATGATTTATTTTGGTTAGTTCATGAGTCTAAGTCAGAATCTAAGAGTGAAGTGTCTTCTTTGGGTTCTAGTAGATATCTGTGGTAGCCGAGGCTTAAGTCTTAGATTGGCGGATCTTCTACCGATTTTGTAGTGAAGTGCTCCGTCAACTTTGTAAAGTTTTTCGTGGACATTTTTTAATTGTTGTGTTATCCAGGTGTGGTAGGCCCGTGTCATTGTGTGGTTGTTTGTTTCCATGAACCACGGAGCTTTTAGGGCTATTCTTAAAAATTTATTTTGAAGGGTTTGTAATTTTGTAATTTTTGTTTTTGAGGCAGCTGCCCATACAGGGCATGCGTAGGTTACTATCGGTCTTCACAAAAATAATAAACAAATACCTACGCAGTAGGTCCATATATATTGCTGTTATATTACATATTTATTTATTTATTTGACGTGTTATACGTAGCTATATGTATGTAGGTACCGTGGTCATCGAAATGATCGAATACGGTAATACATCAGTAATATAATTTTAAAACTTGTCATAGATATATCTCGACATCTAGAATGACTTAAAATGAGGGCAGATGATGATTAATAATTTTATCAATATTTTCCCAGTTGAAGTTTTTATTTCACCTAGTAACGTAACCAAATCATTCAAAAATAAGAATTTGCAAAAGATGTTTCCGTATAATATCTGTTGGATTTAAATTAATTTTTAATTTTTATCATATAATATGGTTATTAACTGTTCGGGAACGCATATTTTTCTTAGATGCTTTTGAGGATGGCCGATTAGATCCATTTTCGTTATTAATTATGTTTATAGATACCTAGATAATTAATTACGGCTCATAACATGATAGATAAGTAGGTGTACGGAATACGAGAACAAAAATAAATTAAAATATTCTAGTGCTTTTTTTTTATAAATGCATATTTTCAATTTATACTTTGTATTTATTATGGATGACATTTTAGTACAACAATCAATATTTTTCCCTACTTATAATTAATTATAATCGTTAACCGACACATGACAATGCAAACAACAATACAACATACTTATATCAAAATGTTTATTTTACTGTTTTTGTAGTCTTGCATAGTTGTATTTGTAAACCACAATAATTTGTGACGGGGATTAAAATAATGTCGACAGATAAAAATATATATAATATAATATTATAAAAATATAATTATATTTGTTAATGGAATTTTAGTTATGTAGAATGGAGTTTACATGAACCTTATCCAGGTGTATACAATTTTGAGGATATAGCCGATTTAGAGTATTTCCTGAAATTAGTTCAAGACGAAGGCATGTATTTGTTGCTCAGACCTGGACCATTTATAAGCGCTGAAAGAGATTTTGTAAGTAATGATAAATTTTTAATAAAATATAATCTTCATTTAAATGACTGTTGTTCGTAACCTAGGGTGGATTTCCATTTTGGTTATTGAACGTGGTGCCAAAAAACAGTCTGCGCACTAATGATCCAAGTATGTATTAAAAATTTCTATTGACTATTGCTGTCGCCAGTCTTTTGTATTTCACTTTTATAGTTATATGGAACCTATATTTTTCTGTATTTGGCAATAATTTGGAACATTTCAACACTGTTCAAAATAAATTAGATGAAAATCAAAACAACTCGATAAAGTATAATAAATATAGTCTGACAATCTTTTATTTATACAAATCATAGAATAACTTAGGAATTAAACCCTTTAAACCAGTGTTTTTGCATATTATTTCATACTGTGGATATTTCCTTCCATAATAAAAAAATAGAATTATATATTTAAATATTTAATGCTAATATCTGATAAGTGATAATAGTTTTTTTTATATAAATACACAATATTTCTTTTTTTGATCATATATTGAATTATACTAATAATATTTCAAATGTCAATAGAAGAAATTGGGTACTAGTAAATTAATATAAATTTGGATGTTTGCTGTATTTGTATCATTAAATAGTTTTAATATTTGCGTTGGGGTTTTTCAGTTTTTGAGGAAAAAAAGAAATAAATATTTTTAAATATACCTATTTAGTATTTACTATATTATAGTATTATACTCTATAGATGTACATTTCTGATCTGCCCGAGTAACCAATGGCAACCATTTATTAACAAAGAAATATTTCAATTTTCAAGGTTAATCTCGAGATACCTGTTTGACTAAATCTTTAAAATATGAATATCGGAAAATCCTATCTTGTTGCATAAGATTCATTCGATTAACCACTATTCCATAAGTCTTACATTTTGTAGTTTTTGAGATGTTGCAACAAATGAGTGAGTGAGTGAGTGGTATTTGGTTACATAATAAAATGCTTATGTATATTGGTATAATGCATATGTAATATATTATATAATACCTATAATACCTATAAATTGTAATTTTGATACATTTTCTTTAATTTTAGTTTATAAACATCAAATTGCTAAATGGTTTGATGTACTTATGCCTAAAATCGTTCCATTTTTATACGGAAATGGTGGAAATATCATTATGGTTCAAGTAAAGACTAATCACTTACCTATCACAATACAACTGAATATTTGTACTATAATATTATTCATTTCTCGTTGCTATATAGGTAGAGAACGAATACGGAACGTTCTACACGTGTGACCATCAGTATATGATATGGTTACGAGATTTGTATAAAAGTTACATTAAATCTAATGCTGTACTTTACACAACCGATATGTGTGGAGATTCGTTTTTCAAATGTGGTCCCGTAGCTGATGTTTATGCTACCGTGGATTTTGGCATTTGGATTACCGATAGTAAGTATTTTACCTGCCTACTACATATAAATATAATGATAACTAGATTTAATTTTTTAATTTTTCTTTTAGTTAAGTCATGTTTTAATTATATGAAAGAAAATCAAAAGGGAGGACCACTAGTTAACTCCGAGTTTTATGCTGGTTGGGCGTCCTATTGGAGTACACCGTTGCACGTGATAAGCTCTGATAAAGTTGTATCTGCCATGAAAGAAATGTTAGCTCTGAATGCATCTTTCAATATTTTTATGTTCCACGGAGGGACGAATTTCGGCTTTACTTCTGGTGCCGTCAAAAAAATTCATCAAAATTATAAGCCATCAGTAACCTCGTATGATTTTTCTGCTCTACTGAACGAAGCTGGGGATCCCACCGAAAAATACTTTAAAATTAAGAAATTGCTCGAAGAATCTGTAAGTTTCAATGAGATAAATATGTAGGCATATGTGAATAACTGTGTACGTATATTAATTTTAATTTTAATCAATTCCGCGTGGAAGAATTTTGCAGTGTCAAACGATGTATCACTCGTTCCAGCACCTAAAGGTAACTATGGGACATTCACAATGCAACCGTTGGTTAGCATTTTTGAAAAAGTCACTCAACGGATTAAACCTATTGAAAGCGATGTTCCACTCGGTTTCGAAATCATGGGCTTCAAATCAGGATTTGTGATGTACGAGACTACTTTGACAAACGATCAAAAATTCGTCACAGCTCCTGTAAATCTTACTATTAGCAAAATCAGAGACCAGGCAACAATCTTCTTGGACCAGGTATAAGTTATATCTAACGCTAGTATGTTATATTTAAGTCCAGATTATAGATCCATTTGGCTCAATTTCATAGATTTAGACTGATACAGAGATAACCTTACATAATAATATACTCATATGAATAGCGACATGGAGTAAGTAAAGATTAAGTTCAGTGTGATTATACATGGGGTAGTAAAATATTTTACTCGCCAGCTTTTAGTTTGTTCACTATCCATTGTGAGTACAAAATCAAGAAATACTAAACTTATTAGTACAAACAAAATTACCATGAATAAATTGTTTTAATTTACTTTTAAATCAAAGTGATAACACAAAAATAACACTGTGTAACAATACAGTATTTGAAACAAATGCAGTTTACTTCAACCTTGCCGTTTTACATTTTGCTATGCCGAAATATGTGTTTTTAAATAATGTTATACATGTATTATCAATTGTAAGTAACTAAAAAAAAAAACTGTAATCAATGAGTTAGATGACCTCCGAAAAATATTTAAAAAAAGAATTTTTCAATTGAACTTAATAAGATAGTTATTTGCAAAAGAACCACCAACTTTTGGATTTATCAACTAATCACGTTATTAAGTCTACAAATATAAAAAGTTAAAGGTTTAAAATTATTTTTTCTTTATTTAAATTTTTTTTCGATAAAACAATGGTGTAATTAGAATATATATCATGATTTTTTAATTAAGTTATCGGAAAAAACTACCAAAAAATAGGAAATTACCGAATTTCATATTATCTGGCTTTAAAATGAATTATACTTATTTTTTTTTGTTTGATTAATCGGTTATCTTTAACTATTATAACATAAATATAACAGTTAGTCACTTATACGCTTACCGACTGCGGTTGTCAAACTCGAAATCCTACTGCTCTACGAACCAAATTCTAATTGCACTACTGTCTTCAGCGTCAATTTAGTGAAATTCAAATTACTATGCCAAGTCGCAGTGAAAATGTCTGATTGTATCATCGTTCTTAGCTCTTTAGTCACGGAAGTTAGGATAAAAAAATCAAAATAGCGAGGGGGAACATAACTGCGTTATTTTCATTACCTTATAAATGTTATCATAATGTTATCATATACTAATGTATTGTGTATTTATCGTAAGTTAAGTTGGCGGAATATGAACATTTTAGTTACATTTTTAATGTATGGCATTAAAATAAATATTTTGTAGAAATTATATGGGTCTTTAAGATCCCCCAAGAGTCAATTGTGAATTGGACCCGGAGACCATGCCGCTTCTAGACCCACTTAATCCGGGATCAACTATATTATATATTATATTTTTAAATAAGCAATTTATTATCAATTTTTTAGGTTCAAGTGACTATAATACCTCGGAAATATGAAAATTTACCCGTGAGCTTAAATATAAACAGTACAGTTCAAAAGCTAAGCATTCTAATAGAAAACCAAGGAAGAATCAACCTCGGAAATGGTATAGAAGACAGAAAGGTTTGTCAGTTACTGTTTAGTTTACTGATCTAGTTTCATTAAATCCATTTTATATGCAGGGTATATTTGAACCTGTAATTTTGGGTGACCATGTACTGGGTCCGTGGAAGATGATACCATACCCTCTGAACGAAACATCTTGGCTTTCGACTATAGAACCACGCAAATATGCAGTATTACCGGCATTTTATAAAACAACATTTACATTGCCAGATAATTTATCAGAACCTTTAGATACTTACTTGGACCCTACAGGTTGGAAAAAGGTTCGTTTTTTAAACATAAAACTCTATTTTTATATAATTATGGTTAACTGACCAAAATTAATTGGAGATTATTTATTTAATTGTATGGATCGCTAAGTTTTTTTTTGTTTTTGTTTTATGTTGAAAAGGGCGTTGCTTTTGTGAACGGGAATAATATTGGTCGATATTGGCCATCGGTTGGACCACAAATTACTCTATACGTTCCCGGTTTATTTCTAATTCCTTATCCTGGAGTAAACACCATCATAATGTTGGAACAGGAAGGTGTTCCTGAAAATTTGTCAATATCGTTTGTTGACAAACCTAATCTCAATGGTACAGTTAACCCAATATTCTAGATTTCTAAACATAATGTGATATATGTTCATAATAATATATCGTTTATTTTATTATTGAATTAAGAATGGTGTTATCATTATGGGACATTTATTATACGTATGTTAATATTTTATAGTATATAATAATATTGCCAAATAATAGTAGTCTTTTGTACCGCTGTATTTCAACGAAACATATTTTACAAGACTGAATCAATTTCTTATTTTTAGTGATTACAATATTTTTGTACTATGTTTGAAACATGAAAGTTAAAATTGGTGCCTACATGTGTTTTAAATTTTCAATTCTTTTTCATAATTATTATAACAATAAGATGTAAATAATTAAGAAATGTTTACATAACCAGGAAACTGGTGTTTCAGGAAGTATAAAATACATATTTATATTTAAAATAATATTATATTTTTAACGAATCGTACAATTGCACAACGCTATATATGTCCTATATGCGGTGTTGATTCGGAAACTATTTTCTAGGTATTTTCTATTGCCTTATACAATAATTGTGTTCGGGCGGTATTTTGGGACTAGGCAACCCATTGTACACATTCTCTGATTCTAATCAAAGAGTAAAGACTAAATCAATTTATTGCTAATCTTATATAATATATTATTACATTAGTTAACACTACTATATAGTCTAGGTTTTTTTGTTCTTTAAATAACTAAGTTTAGATGATTTTGTCAGGAAAACTTTATAAATAAATAAAAAAAAAAGTCTAGGTTGGCTATAGTATCATTCAGATTCAATGTTGCGAATGAAGTTAGAGATCTCGGTATAATTTGATCGTCCAACTTGATCGTTGCGTGTATGTCTGGTTAAATTGTGATTACATAAATGCATTGAACTGTTACCAATATAAATATACAGGTATAGAATCGTTAGAATTATTAAAATAATAATCTGTCATAGGTAACCCATATTTATTTATAGTGTTATTTCATATTTTTATCAACCGTGTACAATGTGCCATACATAAATACATAATTAGGTATAATATATTTAAAAAATAACTTTTACATTTTTTAAAACATTTTTACACAAAGGCTTAAAAATGTCGTATTTAGTTGTATTTTATTTATTATTATAATATTCGCTACAATTTGTATGTGTGTTACGTGTTAACATAATATAGGTATTTTTACTAGAAAACAAAAACGTTGATATCGTTATCAATTGTGTACATGACGTTCGCCATAATTGTTTGACATGGCCCTGCGTAGTCCCATCAAAGCACTGATTATTTCCGAGTTTTTCTTCTTTAGAATAATATTGGATTCCGATGGCTTTATTAAGTCGCTTGAAGAATTATCTTCCACAAATCTCTTGCCGACAAACTGTAAGAAAAAAACACTTAAGTAACGATGATTACCTGTATCTACACAAAAAAAAAATATAAATTAGGCAACTTAATATACAGGACACGTGGTGATGCTTGATTTTAGATTCCAAGCGGCACAGTGAATGTATTGATGCTTTAAAATTATGTTTGTGGTACTTACTGCCATTCAGGCACGTAATCAGAGAATATTCACTAGGTGGGCCAATGTTAGATGGGCCCCCTACCTAAATATACTACCTTGCACCTTATAGGGGTGAGCCCCCTACTTTTTTATATTATAAAAAGTTAACTATCAGAATATCATTACAATAAATATATAGCTGTATAACCTAATAATACCATAGTTGCCATAGTTTATCATTAAGCCAATAACTAATAAGTGTGATAAAAAAAATTTGAATAGTTTAATACTCTTATAATAAAATAAATAATAAAAGTGGGAATATTATAGTAAACGAATATTTAGAATATTTTTATTTGTACAGCTAGTTTCTACCATAAGTTATGGTCGAACAAAATTATACCTTTTTTAAATAGGTTTTTTTAAGAAAACGTGTAATATTGAAATCATAAAACGGTTAAATCACATTGCAAAAGCAAATAATTTAAACTGATACAATATTTTTATTTAATTTTGTTTAATTTGTAACTGTTAATTTTTAAATTATATTTTATCCATTGGAAACTCTAATTATTTTAAATCCAACTCTTTATCTAATCATATTCAAGTATAAAAAAAAAATTGTTAAATTTATAGAATAATAATGGTAATAATAATAATAATAATATTAGTTCATTGGTAATTTTTAATTTTTAATCTTTAAACAAATACTTTTCTACAAATGATCCAATTACTTATAAAATGTTTGATATCTTTATTTACAGTAATCTTCTATTTAATATATTTAAAATAAATACTGTATAAATATTTAATTATAGTATCTAAATTATCTATTGTAGGTCTTCTCTAAGTAATTAAAAAATATTTAGTTTTTTTAAATCACACTAGCTTGTTTACTACTTATTTTTGTTAGGAATCAATAGAAAAAAGAGAATTTCAAATATTTTTACATTAAAACCGTTTTTCTGAAAAATCGAGTTCAATATTTTGTTGTACTTAATTCAAAAACGAATAACCATAGAAACTTCAATTTTTACCAAATATTAATATTACCATTTTCTAATCATGGTATAATTTTCAAAATATTTCGACCAAGTAATTTTAAGATATATTATGCATTTGAAATGTTTAAATTTAATTTTTATTTAAGTATTAAATGGCTACTGGAATTAGAAAAAAAGTTGAGCGTAAGTCCACGATAATATTTTGCCGAAGAATTAGTTTGTACCATCTATTTAAATATTCATAACATTTTCATATTTATACCCGTGGCTTATACATTTAAATATTTAATCCAAGTTTCCTCATAAGTCTACAAGTCAAAAGTTTGTTTTAATTAAACTGTTTCTAAAATCATCGTTGTCAATACTCAAAAATCTAAGCCTAATATTTTTGTTAATTATTATTAGCTATTTTTAGGCATTTGAAAACTCAATTTTTTTTGGCGTTCATACAAATTTTGATAACCACTTACTGGTTGACAATATAAAATATATTTTTAATTTTTGTAAAATCATTTTTAAGGACTATATAGTGACTATTAGTACCTATATGCATTTTTATAAATCAGAAACTATCTACTCTTTCGAATTTTGATTTAGATACATCAAAGGTGTGTTGCAAAAATAATCTGCTTAACAGTTTATGATACAAAATGTGGACTACCCATCATTTGTATCGCCACACACCTTAAATAATATTACAAAATCTAAGTAGCTATTTGAAAATATGGTCCTTAATAGTAGTATACTTAAAAATCAAAAAAAATAATATTTGAATACATTCATTATTCAAAAACAACAAATATGACGGAGCATGCTTCGTAAATATTTTTGTATAGTGAATGCATTGGTTGTTGAAATAATAAGACAGTGGTAATATATTAGTGGTATCATCATATAATAGGAATAGCGGAATGACATTGGGTTGCAAGATATATTAAGATTTAAAGATAATATTTTACCAGTACGGGCTTAGTGGCGACTGGAGCGTTTGGTTCATCAATAACGAAATTGTCGTCCGGAACATACAAAGAACAATAATTAGGTCGTAACGGATATCCGTTGGTCATGATGATGAGGTACGTCAAGTACGTACAAATCAGTAGTAAGTGATGAATGTGGCCCAAGAGTTTCCTGAAATTTAAAAGCAGGTTCGGTTCGTAATTTCCGAGAAATGTTGATCAAATTTAATGATTTTGTTATTTGTTACATATATTATGTTGCATAAGTTGTAACACATAACAATAGAATAAAAACAATATCGTAATATAGGTATTTAAAAACAATTAAATATTTAATGAATTAAAAGCATTTCTTATAAATATTGTATTGCTGTTTGAATATTTATCGTTTGATGGCATTGCTGCTAAACATCAAAAAGAAAACTGATCGTGATATTTATTTGAAATTAATTTACTCTTATATTAGTTTAATTGTAATTTACTTAGAGGTTAATAACTTTAATATTATTATGGTTAATTGATGAACTTGACATGAATGGGTAAGTAAAATAAAAAAATATATAAAAAATACAAACAGTAATTTACTCATAATAAAATATGTTCTACTTACATGTTGTTATCTTACTGTCTTCGGTGATTCTGTTTTTATTATCGAAAACAGCGATATTATATACCAATAACGGATCAGAGTTATACAATAGTATTATCTCATTATTCTGAATACACGTCATTCTAGTATAATATTGTGAATTAACCGAAAACATTTCACCGGCAGATATAGGTACTCTACAGGAGTCCACATGCAGCACCATATCCATGAGGGGTGGTTGGATTAGGGTCGAAAACCCCCATCGCTTTTTTATTATTATTAATATTATATGACTATACATTTTATGTAGTCTTATTTATAACTTTAATTTTTTTTTGCACGAAATAAAGAACGTGACGGCTTGTCACATGCAATTCAACATTTCAACCAACTACTTTATTAAGAAATGTACCATTGCACCATCGTTTTAAGAGTAAATTATCATACATTTGTTGTATATATCTTAACGTAATTAGTTCTCTGGATTATTTTTAAATAATTTTCCTTAGTACATTAAACAAGCGTAAAGTTATATATTTACATTCAATCAATTTAAGTAAATAATATAATATTTATTACCTGAACAACACCATTGAGCATTCATATTATGCAATATAATTAATAAACGCACGTGCATTATACAAATATACATTTTAGATGAAATATTTACTTCTTTTAAAATTTTAAAATAAACTTGTCAAACACGTGATCGTATTAAAAAAATAAAAATAATACTCTGGTTTGGTCAATAAACACAAAATAGGAAACAAAAGAATTCCACGTTATTTTTATAGAATTATAGTTATTAAATTCTTTTGCGTTTTTATATTTTGAAGACTATAATTGTTATATAAACTATAAATGTACCTATTTTAAGCCTTCAAGCTGAGGGCTGAAAGCTTTTAAAATAGTTAAAAATAATTCTTATATTACAATACAATATATACTGTGAAAAACTACCATCGGAGTAACGATGGGCATTTAAGTTAAATATAATGTCTTATACTATACAGAGAATTGCTATGGGTTTGTCATGACTTCATGAGTCATTAAGTTTCGACTTGCTGTACGACTATAAATCGCAGAAAATAAAACGTGTGTACATGTGTACCTATCTGTTATTTAGTACCGTTGAGTATATATTGCATAATATTGTTTACGTTATATGGATACTCAATGATGGTATACCTTCACTATTGTCTATTTTACTCACCTCTGTTGGTAACACTTCTAGGATTATTGTTTTGTACGATAGT